TTTTTTTTAGAGAGCTCTGATTGGTTACTTTGTGGTCACATGACTTCACATCCGCTCTGTGGCTGTTGCTGTTATGACAACGAAGTTTAAAGCTTCAGAGGAGTGGTAACGATGAGGAAGAAAAAGGTTAACAAAAACCAGCAGAAGGTTCTACGATGTACAGTGTACCTGGATATCCAGAGAGTAAGTGTGTTCCTTCGCTGGCACTTCGGTACAAATCTCAGGAAACGGGATTGTTGCTACAGTTTTTGGGAAGCAAGCTAGTTAGCAAGTTTACATCCTGTTTTGTCAGTAAACAGGGTGTCTAAAAGTCCTAGTTGGAAGCTCACCAGTAACATTATGACGATATTATGCTTATATTCTTACCTTAGTATCAGTCACGATGCTGGTCGTGTTATATACAGATGGCACATCATGTAAAACGTGACATTGGTGTTATCAATATTAAAATCAATAGACTTAAAGCTTCAAATGGAGTCATTTTTGTTCCACAAACAAGTATTTTGTTTTTTATTTTAGCAATTGTTGGCTTATTTTGATTTATAAATCTCAGTGGTATATTTAAAATATTTTATGTTATTTTTAATTATTTTTACTCCGTTTAAGAATAATTTAATTTACTTGTTTTTTATTCTTTTAACTTGTCTCCCATTCATCCATGTATTCAGTCATTTATTTTTTTCCATATATCCACTTAATATTGTTCATTTCCATCCATCCATCCATCCATCCATCCATCCATCCATCCATCCATCCATCCATCCATCCATCCATCCATCCATCCATCTATTATCCATCCATCCAGCTGACATCTTTTCTACTGTCTGCAATGTTTTGCAGGTTCAGTTTTTTAGACTCTGGCCATTGTTTAATTTAACTTTTCTGTTTAGTTTATTTATCTTTTTTTATATCCTTAAAAGGACTTTCGATTTTTTTTGTGTGCAAAAAGTAGAATTTCGACTAGAAGGAATCCATACTCAAATTAATGTAGATTATCAGCTGGGCCACAGTATTTCAAAGAAGTGGTTCCCTGTTTGAACGATTATTTAGGTTGACTTCTACTAAAGTGTTGCATGATTAAAAAATTATGAGAACAAGTCATTTCCATTTCAAAATGAAATATAGCAATATAAAAAATATATTTTTCATAGCAATTTAATATACTTAGAATCATCTGTCTGGCAGAAACTTGTAAATAAGTAATAAACACATCATTGCTATAAACTATTTGCAGGTGACCTGCCCAGGAGTCCTCCTGCACAAAAAGAATGACGTTTACCTCCGCGTGCGTATAATGGGACAGTACAAGAGGACTCCGTGTTTGGCACCTCTTTTCCCTTTACTGTTTCACCACAGAATGGTTTTTGTCAAGGTAAGAATAAAACAGATAAATTAAAGATATAGTGGAGGATTTTCTCTCCACTTTAAAAAAGAAAATACACATGCACAACCTGTACCTGCTCCCGAGAGGGAACGCCTATTAAACACCTGCCAGATCGTGTTTGCATCGCTCACACAAGCTTACTTCCCAAAAGAAGATTTGCAATTTTTCCATAGTAAGTGAAAATGGGAACGAGCAAGTAGGATGGCCTTACATAAACTTATCACCAGAATGAATAACAATTAGGAGGACCACTTATTTTGATGATCCACCCAGAAAAAAGAACATCCTCCACTGTAGCTTTAAGGGCAAGCCATGAAAAAATGTGTTCAATGCAAAAAAAAAAAGAAAATGTTCTATTAGGAGAGGTGGTTCTGCAAAGTGTTGATTCATCAGAGCAAAGTGCAAGGCTGTTCGGATTTTAATTTTAAGAATATTTTATCTCATGTATTTTTTCCATTTCCCCTCAAGAATTATTTGCAGCTTTCCTTTTAAATATGTTGAGGGTTGTGGTCTTGAAGTGACACAATGTGCAAAAAGCTATTTAGATTCACACTATTATCAGGTTACTGTTCACAGAATCAATGCAGTTTGACTGTATCTACATTTTTCATGATAAAAGTCTTCCTGTTTACAATGAGGAGACTGATCTGGTTTTGAATATCGACTTGTTTTGTTTGTACTTTGTTTTATCAGACCTTCTCTGGCGTTGTCGACCCCGCTGATGTAACTGACCTCCTCAAAGGTAAATGGCCATCTGGGAATTGCTTGCTCATCTCTTAGTCTTAATTTTTTGTTCGTTGTGCCCTTAACAGCTATTAGCTGAGATAGCGATCATTAGCTAACAGACTGTTTATGCTTTGCTTCTCCACAGCTGACACAACACTTTTTGAGCTGATTCAGTTGGTCCCTCCAGGTATGCTCTCTGATGATGCCATATGGGCATGTTAAACTCCTCTCCATCAAGCCACTGCACTGTGAAAAAAAGACCTTTTAATGTGGATTTAATGTAATTGTATGTGTTTCTATGCATTGCTTTCAGAGGGGGAGACTCTTGCCACGATGGAAGAATGCAGCAGAGATTTTCTGTACCCTGGTCCCAGACCAGTTGGCAGCGAAGGAGCTGCAGAAAGAAGCGCACTGATGAAAAGATCTCCATTGTTTCCTGTGAGCTGGTTATCTTCTGTTCTCTTTACTTCTGGGATCTTTTAAAGGATTAGGTTTGTTAAGGTCAAACTTAATGTGGTTCTTTCTTAGTTATTTTCTGATATAAAGAGATAGACTTTATAATTAAAGAACTTTAGAACTTATTTCTTGTAACAAAATGAATGTGGAGAATGAGTATAGTAAGATTCCAATTTGCCTGTAAGCTTCTTTAATGGTGATTCTTATTATGTCTAAAATACTTTTATTTTATCATAAAACATATATATCTCTACCTTGAAAGATGCAGCTGAAGAGGCACTGAGCACTCAGTAAATATAAGTTTGGAATTCCGTAAAAGTTTAAAAACAATCCTCTGGACTTGGTTTCCAAGGTTTGAAGACGTTTCGCTTCCCCTCCAGGAAGCTTTCTCAATTCAAATGTCTGGATCCGCAGTGAGTTGAGGCTTTATATAAACATGGCCTTGAATTGCTTGGACACATGCAAATTGAAACTGATGAGCGGCTCGTTTGGTTCCATTTTTACGGAATAAATATGACCTGGATGACTGAGAATCTTTATCAGCATAAGTTTAGAATGTGTAGAAGTTTTACTTTAAATATATTTTAGCCATGAGTCTTTAAATTTTTATTGTTACTGATTTAGGATCAGTTATATTTATCAAAATGTCACCTGAAAAACATATACAAATCTGATAATAATATTAGAACTAGGTGTTACTTTTTTTTGTTTCCTCCTTTAAAAAAAAGCACAAATGAGATCAAATTTAAAAAAACAAAAATGTAACTATTGTAACAGTCATACAAGAAAAAAAGTCCTTATCATAAAGTTTATTTTAACCGAATCTAAATGCTACAGAAATCCCCATGTGATATACAATCATCAGAAACAAGACACTACCTTTAGGGGTGCCCAAATACAACCTTTTGATTTCCGATACGAAACACATATCGCAGCTTTGACCAATATCGATTTTGACCCAATACAATATCAGTATCTATCATACATACTTTTATTATTCATTTTATTTTGTGGAACAGGGTCATCAACGGGTGGCCCTCAAGGATCACATGGGGTGCCCCCAGTGTCTTCTGTAAAACAGGAAAACTCCCCAGTGGGCTAAGTTTGACATTTTATTTTATTCCGTTGCTCTTCCTTTTTAATAATTTAAGATTAGGAGCTTTTGAGAATGTTTAATCATATTAATCAGAGAGTATTTAAGCAGATTTTAAAATGACAATATCTGAAATAAAATTAGAAATGATAGGAAACAATAAAAATCTGTTTATTATATGTGAAGTTCAGATGAATGCTTACCTCTCCGGGTCATAGGTCAGTATTGGCAGCCCTTCCTATAACTCAGTATCCATAAAGTAGCTCCAAGCCTTTAGGTTGGTGACTCCTGGTGTGGAATGATAGGAAAGGCTGGATCAAGTGATATTTCTCAAACACAGAACAATATTTAACAACACGAGGTATGAAAAAACATTTATTATTCCCTAAAGAGTTAAATAAACATTAAACCAAAGTAGATAGAAGTACAGTGTTTCTATGAGCTTGATGTCTGATATTTTAGAGAAAGTGGCTGATATCGGACTGACTTTCGATATCAATATTGGACTAATAATAATAAAACTTTATTGATCTCATATTGGAGAAATTACCTCTACATTTATCCCATCACCTTGGGAAGCAGTGGGCTGCCATCGTGGGGCACCCGGGGAGCAGTGTGGGGTTAAGGGTCTTGCTCAAAGAGCCAGAGTGGCAGTCTGTGGGAGTGGGGCTCGAACTCGTAACCTCAGGATTCCAAGCTCTATGCCCTAACCACTAGTCCGCCACTCCCCCGCTTATCTTAGGGTGTCTTATCAAATTGTTAAAAAAGCTTCACTTTGTAGTTGATAAAGTGTTTTCTTCATAAAAGTTCATATTTTCCTAAAAAGCAGTTGCCTATCTTGACTATATCAAAAAAAAGTTGGAAACTTGTATGTTTATTTCTCCTTTTCTCTTCCTACCACCTCCTGCTTTCATCCCTTCATCTCTCCATCTGCAGTTTTGTTTTGCTATTATCCCCCTTGTCCTCCAAGGCACCAACTGGCATATTTAAATGTCTTTAAACACCGCTCCCCTTCGCCAGCGCTTTTATGTGTTTGTGTTTGAGGAATACGTAGCAATTTAGATGTCTCTACTAAAATGCCATATTATTTAAACATCACTGGTGGCTTTCTCCTTTTCTGCTGTTTGTTTGTTTGTTTTTCTTGACTCAGGAACAGACTGAAGATTTGTGCTCGTAAATTGGTGTCCCTTGCAGAGCTTTTATGTGTCCTTTTGTCTTCCTCTCGCTCTTAAAGGGGTTGTTTTCTCTGTTGTCCTTCTCTTGCCAGGGAATCTCCCCTAAAGTGGAGTTTGCAACGGCGTCAGTCATAGAGGAGAGTAATGGGAGAGACAGCTGGGCTCCATCACCTGTAAGTGTGTCTGTTTAAAACACCTTTGTGTGTTTGTTTGCTCTCGCCATAGATATATGATCCTGCATGTCCTGAGCGCTAAAGATTAATCTATAGTGGGACATAATGGGTGGTGCTGCTCGCCATCACATTTGTCTGTTTTCACTAAACATATTCAGCCTCTGTTGTTGCCATGACTACTGTCCATACGAGCAGCATTTCCAGGGTGTTTGTTCCCTCTTCGTAAATGTAATTATGTGGAGGCAGATCAGTGATGCTGATACAGAGGCTTCTCTCTCATGTCCTTAAGTTTTCACAAAACACTATGACTTTCCATTTTATATGCTACTCGTTGCTGTATTTTAAGGTGGAGCTACTCATGTCCAGATTATCATATTATCCTTAAGCATATATATATATATATATATATATATATATATATATATATATATATATATATATATATATATATATATATATATGTATAGTGGATTGCTAAATTTAAATAACCTGGTGAGACCTCTGGTCTCTGTGTGAATTTATTTATATAGAAATAATTTTAAATGCTTTTATTTCATCTTGAGTACATCATTGCATAATGACATTTAACAGGGATTTAACGCCTGTCTTTGATCAACTCTAGTGGCTGACAGTCAATCGGGCTTCAATTTAAACTTTTCAGACCCTACATTTTTCGTATATGCTGTATGGGCATCAGGCATTTCTGGCTGAAGGACCCGGATTAAGTCTGAATGCCAAGTTGACTCTATTGATTATTTAAAAAAAAGACATTTTCATACAAACAGGCATTTAATTAATTGTGATGTTTATTTTGCTTTGCTTTTCTTGCGTTCTGTGAAACGGTTTCCTACCTGTTTGTTACCATTGAATTACTGCAATCAAACTAACCTTTCAATAATATTCCCATGCATCTGTTGGCTCAGCTTTTTCATTAAATTTTTTTAAACATACTAAACATTCAGGCTTATCATTTATAAAGTAAATAATATAAATATTCCTCTGTTGTATTGTTTGCTTTTAAATCAATCGTGTTATGTTGAAGCACACTTTATCTTATTCAAAGAGAACTTAGAAGACCCAGTAAGAGTTAAAACAGCATGAATGAAGATTTGTCACAATTTCTTTGCAGCATATGATCTTTCACACAGCGGTTGGCATGTTGTACCAAACAGACTACCATGCACCTCCCAGGTGTGGCAACCTAAGCTAAGCTATTAGTTTGAATGGGATGTCACTGTCACCAAAGCAGATTGTCACAGTGTTGTGCAGCGGCCCCTTAGGGGGATGCCTGGATCAGAGCACCGCTGTGGCTGTCAGACAGTAGGATTTCTCCATTTTCTCTCTCCTAATGGCTTCTCAGCATAGGCATTTTCCTGACTACATGTCTTCCATGCTGACAAGCTATGTTGTTTACTAAAACAGCTTTAGGAGGAAGGCTTCTCCCACAGAACCTCTGTACCCATCAGTACAAACACAATCATTACAGACATGTTAACTTCAGAATAACAGTGCCATCTTTTGATGGGATCCTTTTGTTTCATTTTTTTTTGTTTCTCCTCCACAAAAGCTAAATTATTATTAATATAATATAATCAAGGTGTCTTAGAGCAAATTTGAATTTATAGCAACTAGAAATGTTTCTCTCTCTCTTTTTGTCATGCGCTTGAGAAAGCAAACAGCTTTGAAGCCAACAGAATGAACACACTTTTAATTTGCCTATAACATCATTAACATCTGCCTAATGGATTACAATCCATAAACAGCTGCTATATGTCCTTTTCATACACTGTGTTTCATATTTAATACCTAAAAATTGTGCAACAATTACCCTATAAGTAGTCTGGGGGGAAAAATGTTTGCCTTGCAGATACGCGGCTTACATACAGACGCACAAAGACAGAGAAAGAAATTTGAGTTAATAGTTAAAATATTTACTCTTTCTATGGTTTTCAGGTCCTCCGTCTCCTCTCATAAATGTCCACTCACCTCAACATGTCCAATGCTTGGTGTGGTTATAATGCAGATGTCTAGAGTCTGACCAATTTGGTTACAGATGTGATATAATGGTGTCACAAAAACATGCACATACAGAGGAGTGTTGGCCAAGTGGTTAGAGCAGTGCACTTGTGCTCTGAGAAGGTTGCAAGTACCCGCTTCGATCACCACAGCCTGCACTCTGAGTTCCTGAGCAAAGATCCTTAACCCCACACTGCTCCCCGGGTGCCGCACATTGGCAATCCACTGCCACCTAAGGGGATGGGTTAAATGCAAAGAGTTCATTTCAAAATATCTGATTAAAATCAGTGAATATTGTCTAAGTCTAGACAGGCAAGGCCAAACTACAGGCCATCAGGGGGGTGGGACTTGTAGTCACTACATAAGAAGTTTCCCATGAACCAAATAAGTTAGTAGGCTAGGCATCCTAGAGCAAAATTTTAGTCTGGACCCTGTAATGCTAGGAAAAATGTATCTATTTTGGATCAAATCAGGTAATAATTGTTTGACCTCTTGGGGGCGCTTTTAAATTGAATAGAGCTTTCAACCTTCAGCTCAAGATGATCTGCAAGCCTTTAAGTCGAAGATGAAGAATAGATCTATAAATCAATAAATTAATATTGATTTATATTACAATGCAATTGTGTTTTGTTTTTTAAAATAATCATTTCTAAAATGTTATATTGGAGTTTTAAAAACATGGCAAAATAATTGTCACGAGTTAATAAGGGCATCTGTTGTTGGCATTGTTGTTACTTTGTTCCTGGCTTTTATTTTGCTTATATCAAAGCCGAAATTTAATTAAATTCGATTTACTTTTTTTTTTTATAGCGCCAATTCACAATACATGTCATTTCAAGGCACTTTACAGAGACAATTCAACCAGATCAAACAGTCAAATTGATTGAAAGTTTTCTATCAAAGGAAAACCAGCTTATTGCATCGACTCATTGACTCGAAGGCAATCCCTCACACCGAGGATGCTTGTAGCGACAATGGAGAGGAAAACCAGGTTTAGTGTGAGCGGCTATCTGCCGAGACCGACTGGAGTTCAAGGAGACAGAAGCAGACATAGAGAAAGAAGTAGAAATAAAAAAGGCAAATGTCAACCAGCTACACAGGCGGACCCATCCAGGAAACACACAGCCAGGCAGATGAGCTCCGAGCCAGCTCCCATGTCAGAGGATGAAGGAGAGCTCATACAGTTAGTCACAGTTAGAGAAACAGGACTACACTGAAAAACAGGCCAAGCTCCGTCATCTATAAACAAAGGTGTTGATTGCAGAAGCACAGCCGATATTTCTCTCTGGGATGCTGTGACAGCCAATTAGGAACAGACCAGATGAAGCTACTATGATGAGAAAAAACAGAGAGAGCATAACGTTAGAGATTCAACTGACAAATTCTGCAGAATGGGAGAATAGAGATAGAATGAAGCAGAATGATGAAAAAGGCGTCCCTATGTCCTCTAGCAGTCTAAGCCTATATCAGCATAACTATAGAGATATATCTGGATAACCTGAGCCACTGTAACTATAAGCTTTATCAAAAAGGAACGTTTTAAGCCTAGCATTAAAAGTACAAATGATATAAAATTATACCAATTATGTTGCAAGTTTTGCTCATATTGTCCAGCCCTAATTATGCATTCTTCATACCAGTGACCATGCACAATACAAAACAAGAGGGTCACACATAATTTAAAAAGGCAGGATGATGCTTTATTAATCAAGTAAATTTTATTTTGTCTCACTTAAAAAGTAATCTTAGATTCGCCTGCATCTGGTGCCACAACAACACATTCTAATAGTTAGTTAACTGAAGGGTTGTAAATATATTCCTTGTAATTTGTAATGTAGAACTTTCCTTTTTCCTTAAGTATTATGTGTTACACAAAGACCAGTTTTTCCTCTCTTCAAAGTGAAAAACAAGATCGGACACCATTCAAGTAAGGCTGATGTGTGCTGGGCCTTATTGGACAACAGTGCCAATAACTGTGGGAGGAGGTATAATTTTTTGCATCAGGGCTGATGTACTCATTTTTGTCCTTTTTCTCAGTCGATGTCATGCTAGGATGATCACTGCTTAGCCGTTCCCTGTTTACACTGTGATTGTGGGGATTTAAACATGATATAAGGATTAACATTCTGAAGCATTTAGACAGAACCAGCTTCACAGAGCTACCAGGGTAGCTGTAGACGTTAACCTTCCTGTGATTTATCAACATGCCAAACTTCGTCCAATGATGTCTTTATCCTCTAAAAAACCTGTGGTGAAAATCACAGCTAATCACATTAGTCAAGCCTTCTGTTCTGAGGACTGGAAAAATAACTCTCTCTCTCCGTGCCTGTCCAACACTGAAAAACAGATAGAAGTCACAGATGTGGGGGATTCAGGGAGGAGGCCGTATGTCCTATTTCCATTACATCAGATTATTGTCAAATGGCAGCTTTGATGATGATTTATTCAACATTTGGTTTCTCTTAAAAAGAGTTTTAATACGCTGAGATATTTCTAATTAGCATTTAGATTATCTTTGTTTTACAGCCTGCCAATGTCTCTCTATCATATTAGACTAAGAGATGGCCATCAAATGCAATTAACATTTTATCTTAACTTATTTATCCCTGGTTGGCATTACCTGCAGGAAGTGAGATATTGCTTCAGAGAATGATGTTAGTGGCCATTAGAGTTATTGGAGTAATTCTGCAGAGGTTGTCTCCATGGCAGTGTGGAGCAGCAGAGCTGTTTTCTTATAACACTTAAGTGGAATCATTTAGCTAATGGTTTAATGGTTTTGTCCAGCGAGAGCAAGCCTGTCAAACTGAGAGCAATGGTCTTAATGGTTAAAGTGGAGGATGCTTTCATAAAAAGGAATAAATTATGGCCTTCAGAGAACTATGAACTTGCTCAGATGTTGTGTGTTACATTAACATTTAGACAAGAGTGTCAGCGTGATCTGACAAAGTTAACGGTGTTCTTTCTCTGTCGCCACAAACAGGCCTGTCGTCTCTCTCCGGTGAGGCCATCTTTAACCCCGTTTCAGCAAAAATCCACCACGAAGTTTTCCCCATTCAGGAAAACAGATGACGATGTTTCTGACTATGTTGTGGGGAAAGATGGGGAGGAAAGGATGAATGTCAAGGCCCTGGTCACAAACCGGGCTCAAACGACAGCGTCTAGACGTCCTCCTTATGCATCCCCGTCTGACCGCAGTCCTCAAAGAAACAGGAGTCACAGTAACACTAGAGCTTCTGTGAACGCCGGGTACCAACGGCCCACTGTTGCCTCCAGGTCAAGAGCCCTGTCCCCCTACACACACCGCAAGATGTGCCAGCTGTCCGAGGACACCAGGCAGCGGCTCAGCCATCTACAGCTAGGGCCTCACCACTTTCGGAAGGAGACGGAGAGCCAGTCACCCTTTTTGGTTTGATTTTTTTTTTTTCTACTATGATTCTTCTGTTTTGAATCTCAAGCATTAAGTATTTGGCAAGCATTAAGTTGATTTTAGAAGGTTTTGAGGTATATGAAGAAGGACAAGGTTCGTACACGGTGTGGAACTTATTAAACCTCATTTAGGTGTTTTGCTTATCTGAGTAAGGAATGGGAAACATAAAAATGTATTTCCATACTGTTGCAGGCCTTAATGAATTATTTTTTTTCTTTCTGTCTTTTTTTCCTTATTTTACCATATCTTTCCTTCTTCTGTTCTTTCAGATTCTTCTAGAATCACCTGATTGATGCAAAAAAACAAGCAATTTAATTTTACATTGCCCTTCTTTTCCTACTTCCATCTATTTTACCCTCTTTCTTGCCTTTGCTCCATCCTTGTATTCTACCTCTTCTTTCTGTCCATCCTTTCTTGTGTCTTAAATCTCTTTTTTCCATTTGCCCATTCCCAATGTCCCTCCTATTATCCTTCCTACCCGGCTTCCTTTCTTTACTTTTTAAACATTTCTTTCTCTCCGGCTTGTGCCTTAGGGCCAATACATGCTCACCAAGAACACAGCAATTAGTTTTTCTTCCTGAGGTGGTAAGAACAACAACAACAAATAAATTCTAGGCAAAAAGATTTTACATTTCAAAAGAACTGAAGTGTAGATTTTTTGAGGAAGTCCTGATAGGTTCCTCTCATTATCCATCCATATATCCATCTATTGCCTCTACCTGCCTGTCATTGCTGTCTGGAACGTTGACATGAAAGATGGGCGAGAACCCTGAAATAATATCTAAAATCTTTTTAATACACACAAACAACATGCAGTTAAACTTCTGTTAGCCCAACCCATAAAATCAACATCAAGCTTGTGTAGCTCTTATGGGCATCAGTGTAGTATTTTTAGTTTGACTCTGTTTGAACATTTCTGTAAGTTCTTACAAGGTAAAGACAGCTAATAACATAATCATAGTGGTCTCTGTTTAAAAATCCAGCAATAGATGTGTTCTAAGCACACGGTTTATAAGATTAATTAGAGGCTGAGTTGCTGTAGGTCAAACCTCAATGGGAGCTTCCCAAAATTTTACTTAATCATGCAAGCAGATTAAGTTAAGGATGTAGTAATAAGGCAGTGTTAATCTTTTTATCTGAGCTTTTAATGGATTTTGACGCCATGAATAGACTTCTACTACTTTTGCTTAGTTATCTTCACTGGGGGACCTAGACTTGATTTAAAAACACACATTCTGCTTAGGAAAAAAAAGGAAAAATCTGGTTAAAGGCTTTGGTGTCTAGAAGTTACAGATAAAACAGGAGTTTTTTAATATAGTCCAGTCTAATGGGGATCCCAACTCCCAAAAGTATGGGTATCAGGCTTTTTTTTCCTATTTGGTCACACAAATAAATGAAACTTACTCAACTAGAGCTATTGTTTTATCAGAGGAAGGAACAGGCTTTTCTGCCTCTGTATTTCCTGGGGGGGTGATCCTCTTTGTATAATTAACCCCATTAATTGAGTGTCAGGCCGCAATTAACAAATAAACACCTCATGAAGTAGTTTAGCTTCTTGAGGAAAGAATCTGAGCAGGTTTCAGAGGAACAACCCTTTCTTGTGTGCAGAAATGTTATAAAGAGTATCCAATTTGCCAGTCAAATATGTAAAAAGGAAAATAAATGTTTTTGCTTTGTCAATTGTTAATTTTCTTGCAGGAGGAAATGATTTGCCTTTTGTTTATACTTTTAAGTTTGAGGACATATCAATAAAAGAAATATGCTATTTTTTCACTTCCAGCATAAAATAGTCTAACAGCAGATCCCTTTACGCTGTGATGTTCCAGGTCCCTCGTCGCTTTAACACCTCTGGGATGGGAACACCCTCCTCCTCCTCCTCGCCACTAAACAACAGCATGCATCAGCGCTCTGTCAGTTTCTCAGCTGGTCACACAGGTAGACCTCAGAGACTTACAAAAGCTACAATTTAATCTAACACATGTTGGCACATTTGGTGAATAACTCATTTTACATATATCATTAACGTCTGACTAAAATAGAGAGGGTGAATATTTCTACACTAGGTACTTTATAGTTTTAGGAATTCAACACAACTGCTTTGCTCCTTATCTAAAGACTCTCAGTATATTAATACAGATATCTCTAAAGGATTCAAATAATGTATTCCTGTTCCACTTCCCAAATATATATATTTTTCTGACTTATTTTTCATCTTTCAACTTTTCAAAACAGTAGAATATATAAAAAAATTGTTCTTTAAACATAAAATACACACATTTTATTAGTGAGGGAAGCTGAGGTGGTCACTGAAGTGGCCCTTACCCTCTGTTCAGGATCACAGCAGCTTCAGGAACCAGACTTTGAACTTTTCTTCTTACACCCTTACCATGGGATGTCTGAGCTTCTGGCAAACTGTGCCATATTGTCACAATAGAGCTTATTATATGTCTGCATCAGACTGAGGTTCTTTAATTTATTGAGCTTATTTATGTGTTTTATTTATTTTGTATATAGTATTTTGTTGTACAATGTTATAGAAATGCAATAAACTTAAAATGGATTTGATTTTGAAATTCTGCTCCAAGTCTTAGATTGTCTTTGTCTTTATTTAGACTCTTCTCTCATTGGAAGGAACAGACAGGGAGCAGAGCAGGTAAGTCCGGACATCATCTTGGAAGCCCTGACATTTTGCCAAAGATCAGCAGTTGGACTTAGGCCAGGACTTGGTTGAGCCATTTCTTTTAGCTCTCTGGTGGTTCAGCAGTCAGCGTCTCTGTCCTACTGGAGGGCACATTTTCAGCACACTCAACATAACCTAATCAGGCATTTAACTTCTCAGCAACTTTATCTCTAACTTGTATGCTGTGTTCCTTGGTCTTAGTCAAGCTGTTTATTTACTAGTATTGTCTGGGTCAGTAAGGTCAGCTGAATTATCAATGTTTCATCTGAAGATTTATATAAAGGTTAAAGTCCGGTTAGCAAGGAATAACCAATGAGTCATTATTTTTACCTGAAACTAATACGTTCGCTGTGATTTAATGAATTTAGCATTAATCAGTAAAAAAATAAAAACAATAATTCCAGGAGTCCAGAACCGGCCCAAATATAGTAACACCTCACCTCATCTTCAGGCAGTGACGTCAAGGTGCGGTAAGCCTGGCGCCATTATCCCCGCTTTACAAGCAAAATCAACAGGAACTATTATACACGCATGCAAACACAACAATTAATGAAGATTTCAAGAGGACATTACCATTTAAATTCACGAGAGCTATAGTATCGTTAAAGTGACAATGCGCACGTGCCTGACAGTTGGATGTTGTAATACATGAGGTAAAAGTGAAAAAAAAATGTGTTATTTCACCTTTCCCATTCATGATCCCCCATGGGTGCATCGTCAGATTACCAACTTGAATAGGGAAGATTTGCCATCGAAGAGAAAAAGAGTAAAGGAACGTCAATAATCCGTTACTCTCTGCTTCGCATTGTCCACTGGTCGTCACCATCATGGATAACAGCATGTTGTGACAAACACCAGATAGAGCACTGGGACTTGCTCAACAGCTGATACCGCACCATGACGTCACAAACTGTTAGATGGGAGTAGAGTTTTTTTTAGAAACATGGATGACTCCAGTAAAAACCATTCAAATACTTTCAGAAGTTTGTATTCTGAATGTGACCGGTCTTTTCCTTTAAAGGTATCAGATTAAATACGCCTGAATATATCTTAGCCATATGGGCCTGATTTTATTTTGAAATCAGTTTTAAATGAATACTTTGTTCGCAGTCAGTTTCTCTGAAGCTTTATGTTTTTTTCTAATGCATACAATCCTAATAAAAAACATTGAAGTTGAGTTGAAGAAGTTAGAGTTAAAGATTGTGTGAAAACCTTTTTAAGGCACGCAGCAGCAGCATGTTTAAACTAGGGTTGTCAAAGATATTGATTTTCTGTACAATATCCCCATTTAAACACTTTAACCTCATACAATACTAATGTGGCATGGTATTGATACTTAAAGGTGCGTTTAAGTATCAGTTTGGTATTTTTAAATGTTTACGCCAATAACTCACTCAAGTTACATAAGAAGTGTCCTGCTGGCATAGTATTTGTTACTTTTGTGTTTTATGCTTTTTTTGCTCAGTTTGTTAGTAAATCAAGCCCTTTGCGTATATCTACAATAACAACGGAGGTATGATACTGCACATGTGAGCAGGGGCTAAACAAGGCAGCACTCTACTGTGGCTAAGCCGTCTCACAGCAAAGTGTGGAAATAATGGAAAATTCCAAGGTCCAAAGGGAAAAAAAAACTCAACAAAATATTTGATTTCAAGGGAGATAAGAGTGGAGTATCTTTACAAATTTTCTGAGCTGTTACTTGCTTTACTGCAAGACATTGCTTTTTTGGCTTTCTAATTGGATTAATCAAGACAACTCGATTTTTTTAAATAATCGTCAACTAATTCATTACTTCATTCATTCTTAACTGGAGTATAAAGACTCTTAAACATGCCTTTAGCTGAGCATGACCTTCTTAGAGTAATAATATCAACATTATAAAAACTATTATATATTTTTATATATATATATGTATGTATGTATGTATGTATGTATGTATGTATGTA